AACGGGGTCGACTGCACCGTTTGTTGTCGAGAAACTCACGTGTGAGAATTTTTTACACCCGTATTTTTAATTTTCTGCTCTCGTGATTCCAAATGGCCCCAATAGATATTCGAGGAAACGTTTCGCGCCTTCTTAAACTTTACCCGAGCAAATATTTTCGCGACAGAGGTGTATTTTGGGTAACAGAGGTGTATAAACTAGGAATATGAATATAAAACATTCGCTGATAATAAATTACAAAGGAAATTTACTCGAAGACAATTCTTTGGTATACATACGAATATAATTTTACTATTAAAGTCAAATATTCGTCGTTAATTTTTCTAGCTTTGCTAAAATTTCTGCGACCACGCAATTTAGTTACGGGATCCCATTCAGAATCGCGATCCACACATTGAGAAGCCATTGCTCGGTCATTCTTGCTCTGAACTGACAGCAAACTCATACAATTTTTCTCTAGTCTTCCTCTTTCAGGACACATTTGTCCTTGATCGTCGATACCAGTAATCTGTGCAGTCGCGGGGCGTGTTACGCTGCGATGACGCGTAATTACGCGGCTTCGTTCTCGTCTTAACACCGAAGGTCAGTAATGGCCTCAAATTATTGTAATATTCCACGGATCGTACATTGCGGTAATTTATGTCGGTCCCTCCTCGTTCCACGGCAACGTCACGAAACAGTTGGAGAAAGGGCCAACTACTAGAAGATGGAGGAAAGAGAGAAACAGAAACCGGAAGAGCGAGACCTATTCACGAAGGGCTTCACCACGCGATTCCGGCGAAAAGCATCGACGATACGTGGAACGACAGTGAGACCGATCCACCGATTCTCTTCCTCGAGCTTGCGTGTTGCTCGCCGCAGTAAAAATCACGAGAGAGGGAGGGAGAAGTTAAGATCTATGAATTTGCCTGGAGATCCAGCAGTTATCCATCGTTGGATCTCGAATCAAAATAAAGATCTGAAGTCAAGCCGTGGAATCATGATTAACGGAGGGGCGTGTCAAAGGCCGGAATTAGACTGTTGTACGGCGCGAGAAATATCGCCGATGAGGAAAATTTTCTGATTAAACGGAGGAATATAATATACCCTGAAAATAGGAGATAACCTCGCTTTCAAAAATAGCAGATCGGGGAAGTTTCGTGGAAGATATAGTTACCAAGACGACAAGCAACGTTTGTATACCTTTGACGGCTAACCAATTGCGCTGGCAACTGCGGACCATAACGAGTGACCAAACCGTATACAATAATTCGCCGCTTTCTTTTTGAACTCGACGGTACGACATCTTTGGACAGAAATTATCGAGAAGTAATAGATTTATTATTTGCTTTGCCTGGGTTATACTTAAGTATAGTTAAAACTGAGAAAATATTACAATTTTGCAGCAAAAAATTCTCGACGTGCTTGGCACGTCATTCCAACGCAAGAAGGTAACATCACGACGAGTGTTATCTTTTATACTTTTCACAGTACAAGTTTCGCAATACATTTATGCAAATGTAATTGAATTTTATAACGAAGAAATTGAGATCTCTATTGAGAACGTTATTACTTCGTGTTTCTTCTACAGACGCGTAATGCGTAAAAATTGTAATAAAGCTTCCCTTTCGCGTCCCTGGACGAGATACTCGCATCATTAAATCGTCGAAAGAGACAACGGTTCGGGCAGTTGTGGCAGAGGTGCGCGAGGCACGAGGGAAATCCTATCGACAGACGTGTTAAAAAGCGCGAAGCAATTAGACGCGAGTGAGGTGGCGCGCGTAGGTCGCGGGTTGGGGAAACCGTGCGAGTGCATAGGTCTCGGCTCCGATTTGTTCATAAACTTGCCGAGAGATCTTAATCTCTCGGAAGGACGCGGTGGAAAGAGATCGGGGGAGGGAGAAGGAAGTGAAACGCGCTCGGAGAAGTAGAAATACAGAAGGGAGAACGGGGAATTCTCAGAGAGCGAGGACGCGATGTGTGCTTCTCGGACTTAATGGCGGTGTAAAGAGTACGGGAAGAGATCGGAAACTTGGCGAGAATAATAAAGAAGGGAGGCACAAGGGTCACATAGTGCCTCTCTCTCTCTCTCTCTCTCTCTCTCTCTCTCTCTTTCTCTCGTGCGCGCGACGATGCCGAGGATCGTTCGCGGAACGGAGAACCGGCAGCATTCGGACGAAACGATTATCTTGTAATGAAAGCGGATTCCTATCGGCGGCATAAATTACCGAGACAATGGGCCCAGTGTCCGAACCCAAGGAGGCAGGGAGAAAAAACTTGGGACTTTTTGGTGGACCGTCGGCGAGATTGGGAAAAAAAAGAAAAGAAACCGAAGCAGGAAGTGTCCTGCAGTCTGACAGCAGGGGGGTAAATAAATGACATCGCGGAGGGAGAACTCGAGGAAAGGACGGGAGGCAGAGGACAGTAGAGAATCAGAAATGGGAAGGCCACTTTTTCGAGTTTCAATTTTATGAATTTTACGGATCATTTGCGCATCGCTTGAATTCTTCCAACGCAAGTTCTTAAGTATCTGAATGCTACGTTCATCGAGCAAGAAAGATATGTGATAAAAACGATACAAAAGAAAAACCGCCAAATTTACCTAGATTGCTTAATTTGAAGTCACTGCGACATTAGACCGGCACGCGAGAAGGCGATGAAAACGAAGAAAGAAGAAAGATAAAGAAAGGAGCGAGTAAAAGAGGTTGCGGCAAAAATGTAATGGACGTCGAGAATAAAAATAAAAAGGAACAAAAAAAAAAAAGAAAAGAAAAAATGAAAGAAAAAGAGGAGGAGGAAGAAGAAGAAGAAGAAGGAGTTTAAGGTCAGGGACCTCTGTCGGGAGATTGCTGGAGAATCGTACAGGTGGTTGTGCCGCCTGGGGAAACACTTTAAACTCGCTAATGGAAAAGACGGCCAACCCTCCGGCTATTTGAAAGTGACACACACCGCGCAGTCACGTAATTTGCGCGTTAATCCCGGCCTGATGGACGCACGGGAAACCGTGAACAAGCTATGTGCACGAGCTATGCGGGTGACGTTTCATCGTTGAGGCTTGTCACGAAGTGCGGCCGGTCAAAGGTGAGACGAGCGCGACCGGCTTAACGACCGCGATGAATTTTTACTCCCCTTAAGAGGAAATCGCGAAATTTCTACTCTAACGAGTAATTGCATCTGAACCATGGGGGAAAACAAACGACTTTGAGAGTCGTCTGATTGCTTGCTGTGATTCAGAACGTTGATTCAGAAGCGAACGTTGTTGATCCGTGTCGACGTTATCGATTCATCTTTGAAAACGATGCAAAAACCGATACACGGTCTCTTTGATTCGGTCCTTTCGTTTGCAAACGGAGCCACACGGTGCGTGAAACTTTCTCGACTGCGTTCTCCTATCGTTAGAGAAGATACGGGACGGTGTTCTTTAACGGTGTGTTGGCCCCGTGACGATGATACTTCACCGTGAATTATTGCTCGTTGCTGGAAGTGTGTATCCCGAGTCTCGCAGAGATATTGCGCTTGTTGTTCCAAGATCAACGCTGCGATTACACGATGGCGCAGACTATTACAAAATTTGAACAAGAAATTTAATTGTTTGTTTCGATTCGGTGTCTTCGGATAGTCAAACTCAATTTTCGTTTTTGTCGTGTAAATTACAAACAGCAGTACGAGAATTTTGTCAAACGATATCGTTTCAACTATTCGCCTCAACTATTCCGTGAAGTGGTTCTTTGTAATCGAACGCGGCGATCTTAATTACCGATCAAGTCGCCAAAGAATTAGCTTAATCAAACACAATTGCAAACTCAACGATCGCGAGATATCGTATCGACCGTATGCGTTCTCGTATTAACTCGTGGATCATGGGAACAGTTTGCGTTTGCTTTCCGCGCGGAGATTTATCGTTGGAGATTTAATTATCCAGCGAGGGAATGAACTGCTGCGCCGGTCGTTTCGTTTTTCGCAACTAGAATGGAACGTTCCTGCATCGCGATAATGTAAACCGGTGGTTTCGGTGTATCGCACGGACATTACTCGCGGAACAGTGAAAGTATCTATCGTCGAGTTCCGCGAATAAACAGGGTCCAAGCCGAGGGGGATGTACATCAGGAGCGCGGGTTTCTCGAGCGCGCGGTGTCGGACTGCTCGCTTTTCAAGGTCGGGACGTTTACGACTTTATGGGGCAATTACGGTGGTATACTGCAAGTTAGTTTGCGGCTACGTCGTACTTTTCCTCTTCTTTTCCCTCGCGCTCGCCGCCCGACCGGGATTCCTTCCTTCGCGACCTTTTCCTCCATTTTTCCGAGTTCGCGTCTAATCCGTATGGTACCACGATATACCACGATCTGTACAGGATACACGGAAATACACACATGTAAAAAAACATGTTGAATTTCAAGGCCAACATTTTTTTTTTTTTCTTTCTGCATTGTGTCACGAAGGTCGCAACCCGATAGTTCTCGTGAAAAATGACAAGAAAGTTTCTTGATCATTTAACATTGTGGACGCGTGCGTGCCAACAGCGATTTTATGGCTCTGGATTAGGTTTCACTAACATAGTTGCAGCATCAGTGCGAGTCTAAATAATCGAAATAAATGAAACTAACTGTTAATGTTATTCGAAATGTACATTACGTGTTGGAACTCACGCATTCACGATTAAGAAATTTTTTTCCATTTTTCAAGAGAACTATTAGGTTACAACCTATGATTCTTTGGAAATGTTTTTCATCTTCGTAATGAGTAGAATTTTTGACCTTGAAACTCAAGTTCTTTACATGTATCTTCACCAAATCGAAGATGTAGAATTCATCCATGGTAGCCACGGACAAACTTTTCTTTTCACCCTGCATTCGATACCATTAACATCTATTAACTGTTATTATTTTATTGTCGCGTATGCGTGTCGGGCATACTTCTGTCGGAAGATCATGGAGATTGCACGACCAATTTCTCGACGAATTCGAAACTCGCGCTATAGAATAGAACGCGACTGAAACTCCTTCTTTTCTTTTTGCTTTCAGTTCAAAGCAAAGTGAGATGCTCGGAGCAGTGGATGGAGGTTGACATCGTGAGGAGCAGCCCGCAAGCGAGGATATATCTGCAACAGATGAAGGACTTTCCAGGTAAAGATCGATTCGATCTCGCGTTGCCGGCGCACATAGCCGCGAGTGAGAAAATATTGCGCAGAGAAGTGGGAAGCGGAGCGTACGCCGCGTATTTTACACTCTGAAACGTATCTTGGTTTCCGCAGACGAAGCTTGCAAACCACGGCTTAGCAACGGCGTCGCCACGTTCCGATTACCGCTGTTAGAGCAAGACATGTTGCGATGCGGTATCACGAGGGTCGTTAACAAAGTCACGGTAAGGCATAATTACGAGCCTCTGATGAACTGATAGAACGCGTCACCCGCGAATAATTAAAATGACTGAATAATTTACTGAAAGTGTGGTCACAGTGACGTTCTGCATGATCGTTCGATCGGCCTCGTCGGATCTGATCCACACCTGTTTTTCTTTCACTTTGATCGTTTTTACTCGAAATCGGACTGCACGGTAAATTCGACGACGAAGCTAAATTGAAACTAAATTTTATAAATTACAAGTCGTCCGATTTTCCTAATTTCCTAACTCTGCTAATTATTACTATTAGCAAAATTGAGTGAACTGTCGATTGAAGTGAAAGAGGGAAACCGATCAATCCTCGTCTCGGTGGAAAACGAAAGGCGTTTACATTTAATTTTCCATCAAGATTTTCTCTTCAACCACGTGTTGCAAATAGAGCAAAGAAGAGGTTGGATCGAAGCTAAAATAAAATGGAAGAAATCGCGATGAACGATCGAACGACGAATAGATCGAACGATTTGTGGTCTGAGGGTTAGCGATAAGTTGTTAGGACTCGTTTCATTGTTTCGATCAGAGATCCCTGGGATTCGAGCGAAATTACAGACGCATAATGATATACAGGGTCAGAAGGTGTACTTTCATCGGATAATAGTGGAGGAGCCCGCGGATTCCAGCAAGCATACGTTCACTGTAAAGTGTGTTATCACCGAAGTCGTTGTGAAACCTGGAATCTCGATCCAAGCCAATCACACCGCGGTACGACGGAGCGTTCTTCCAGCAGGTTTCCAGGAACCAGAGTGAGTTCATCTTTTACCTTAATATTCAGTTTCTCTGTTCTGTTGTTGTTTATTGTTTACGTTGATTCGTTCGAATTTATTCAGTTACTATTCACCTCGATGGGTAAACTTACATTTATTTATTCCAATTCGTTCAAACGTGTTTGGATGTTCACCAATGTATAAAAACTTTTAAACTGATAGTTAAATGAAGTCATTGATGCAATAAAATTACAATAGAGCAATGATATTTCAACGTAACGTCGAAAGTAATAAATGTAAAATGTCTGCATGAGTCAGGATTTTGCTAGCCTTCGCTCGCTGTTCGCTGAACGCGCGTAATTACGTATTCTTACCAAGGACAACCTTTAATACACTCCAAGCAACCGCAAAAAGTATCGCACAAAATTATCTCTGAAACTTTCATCCATCTGTGACTCGCTGTTGTACGAATCACTTCACTCTTCGATAATTTAAACGACTGAGACTTTACCGGATTACGGGCAGCAGTGAAGATCATACTTACAATTAGTCAGAGAAGATTAATTTCATTCCTGGATCTCGTAGCAAGCAATTAATCACAATCGTACGGACAGGTAGCAAAACTGTTTGATCAGAGGAGTACGTTGATTCTTGATTCATTGTAGATACTGAATTAAGTGGAAATTTATTGAATTAATAGTAACTGAAGTCTTCTTGCCAAAATGGTCGTTTATTCTTTGAAATGTGTTTAAACAATTGTCAATTTTTAATTTTCCATAAAGATTGAACAAATCCGTACCCGATCTTTAGATCTTCTAACAGTAACGCATTCTAGAAATGAACAGAAGTTAATTTTTCTCCTGGTGTTGTAAATCTTTTAATTCTATAATTAAACGAAAGACAGAAAGAGAGATTAGATTAAATCGAAATGAATTCTGACTCTGATTTAATGTATAATTCGAGTTTCTTACCACATCAATTTGGTCGTCGGTAATTTTATTAGCAGTATGATTTCCAGTTTGAATCGGATAGAAGGAAGCAGCGATCCGTGGAATATAATAACGACGTGGAAATAAGGAATGCAAAGCGTGCCGCGTGAATAGAGGAAATTCAGGCCCCGTCGCTTTCTAATGCAAATGAGCGCCAACTAAATGACGACGAACGTTTTTTCGCAAGACGTGGTCATCCCAGGTTGATTCATGATTCTACGTTCCATTTATCCATCGCCATGGACACTATGCCAAAGCAGGCGCTGGAAAACCTGAAATGTAATTTTAGCCTTGTGTACATCACGTCGCACAGAGTCTATTCTCCCTTTCCCTGGTTACTCGATAAAACCAACTTCTCTCCAGTCATTCGTATTCTCCGCGTATTCCTGGTAAAACGTTTCAACTAGCGCGCGACCGCTCCAAGAAGATCTTTTTGTTTGCCCGGAACATGTAAATGTCGCTAAAGAGGCACTAACGATCCCTTCGGAGCAAGCTCTTCACGTTTCTAAACGTTAAACGACCTGTTGAAACCTTATTCGAATAAACCTTTCGTCCGTCGATTTTTCGTCCCATTTTTTTCGCTTTTCTGCTCTTCTAGTTGTCAAAGTAACAATTTAATATATTTCGTGTAGTCTTAAAATCGTAAGATCAGGGAATTGAAGAGAAGAATGATGAAAAGAATGACTTATAATAAAAATCCGTACTTTTATTCCTTATCCAGAATCGTTCATTTCAACTTATTTTATATACTCGTCTATCTAGGAAACAGGCAAATTCATACTTACAATCGAGACACGAACATAATTTTGTTATTTGTAATCGTTACGACTTCGCTTGTACCACAAGTTTGGAACAACGATGTAATAAACAGCTGTCGGCATACCAACTGGCCATGATTAAACCAGCGATAGAACATTAGCCAGCAACAGACTAAACGCTTGTCACAGGTCTTTCTTATTTCCTGTCGTTACGACGAAGGTTACTTCGCCAAGCGACATTCTTCCCCAGTATACACTCGAAGAATCCTCGCATCTGGTCAGCCGTGCTTGCCTTGAATTTTTTTCTCTCGTTCCTCTGCCTCGGCGTTAATTTATTGGCAACTAATCGATCGTCCACCTAGACGTGGATGGTCGATGTCGCCTCTCAAACCAGGAAGCCGTAAAATCTTTATTGTTGAATTATCACGTGGAATCTCGCGTGGCCGAACCCGCGGGGTCGTCGAGACTGTACGCATCACGGGAAAATTCTTTCTCGATCTTGATAACCGTTTCTGCTTCCACGAAGTCGATAGAATTGCGTGCTTTGCTGCTCGATCGGTTGCGTCCATCGCGATTGAGGGATCACCACCGCCGCGTCGTTCGCCAACCATCGAGGGATGATCGGACAACTGAAAATTCCGATCCAGTCGTCCATTTTACATCCATTAGATCCGCGCGAGATAACAGATGCGAACAAACGAAAAAACTGTCCGTCGACTCGAACGTCGTGTGTCGTCGTTCGACGAACAGTTCATCGTCTCCGTGTTTTTTCCTCGGGCTTCGTCATCATCTCCTTGTTTTTGGTACCGTTTCGTAGCTCGCGTTGTTCGATTATCGAGAGATATAAGTACAGTTTGAAGGAAACGGCTGGATGACTCGGCACAAGCGAAAAACGCGATTCAGGTCGATGATGTTGTGATTCGATGACTGTCAAGAGTGAACCGAGGTCGCGGAGGCAGCGGCTTCCGTGTCGAGAACAGATTAATTTTGCTTCGGCTGACCACTGTGAATCATCACAGATCGTCGTAATCTCGGGATTCGACGCTGCAATTCGACCTGATGTTGTTTGCTCGTATTTTTTTGCCCGGAAATTACATTCAAATGCATCTTCGTTCTCGGTGCTCGATAATTCGCCACTTGCCAGATGGCAGCGCGGTTATTCCATTCCAACCGGTTGGAATGGAACAAAGTTATTTCTCTCGCCAGCTGGAATTTTAATGCGCCGTCTTTTGTTTCCTCCGGCAGCGTGATCGACATCAGGGGAGAGATCTCCGAGTCGGCACCGGTACCGATACTGGGAGTCGGCGTCAGGCAAGGTGGCAATCTCGTCACCGGAGAGTTAAACGTCAGTCCAGGAACGCCTTTACAGATGGAGATTTTCTTGGACAATGGCTCAGCGTCTGTTTATGGACTTCTGGTCACATATATGTTGGTCACGGACACCAAGTCGCAGGAGGAAACTATTATCATCAATGGGTAAGGGTCATAATTTCCATTTGACTTGGAAATTTTTAATAAATAAGCATTAGAAAATATTAGTAAAATTTATTAAAATAGTAAAATTACATTTCTCTCTATGTAAGATCTTTTACATAATGACTTTCCTAGAAAATATGCATAACTCTTTTTGTTCTCAGATGTTCCGTGGATCCGTACTTATTCGAAAACTTCAACACGGTAGACGGTGACTTTCTGACAGCGAAATTCCGGGCTTTCAAGTTCCCAGAAAGCACTTACGTTCAGTTTCGTGGCACTGTTAACGTCTGTCTGGACAAGTGCCAAGGGGTAAATTAATATCTTTGTGCATCGTTAAGCGAAGCTTATTCGAATCGTCGTGTCAATATCTAATTTCGTCACTTTCTTGTGTCAGTGTCTAACGTTACCGATATTTCAGATCGAGTGCAGCAACGGCCAAATTGGATTCGGGAGGAAGAGAAGAGCCATCGATGTCTCAAATACTGACAACAACAAGCTTTTCGAAGTGACTATGTCCGCTCTTATTAAAGTGGACTTTGAAGAAGACGCGGTGGTCGATAAAGGTAATAAAAACTTAGATTTAATGGATTTTTACGCAGATCCATGCTTTTGTGAATATAATGGAAAATGTTGGGTTTATTAAACGTCACAACGTAGGTACTGCATTTTAAATATTTTATATAATTTCACGTATTGTTATGTTTCACGCCAATTAATTAAATTTCCATATTTATCAGCTCTGTCCGAGTTGTACATCAGAAGAGGGAAGAACAGGACAAAAGCCAGGGCTGTGATCGCGGAGGAAATTAGAGAGCAAGCAACTCCGACGACGATCAGGACGGAGGAAAGAGCTTTCATAGCGCAAGAAGTTAAAGAACAGTTCAAGTACAAGGTTACCGAAACAGAGATCAACGGTTCCACGTGTAGAACGGCCGTTCTACCTTCCGTCCTTGTTCTCCTCTGTCTCTGCAAATTTTTGTAAGACTCGAAGAGAACGATCCTGCAGACCGATGAACGACATCGCTGACTGTAAATAGAAAGCAGCTTGAGAACCGGCAGGATTCGAGTATACCGTGGAAAGAATGGATCGAGTGTCCAGCCGAAGACGTTAGTATAATTCTTTCCCTTTTTCTACGTAGGAAGAAATATTTGATCGTGAGTTTACGATGTCGGAGATCGAGTTGACAATCAAACATTCCGTTCGGTTGACTGTTATGAACGATGTCAATAGGAGGAACTGCGGTCTTATGATCTTAGAATTGTGATTGACTGTTGGAAAGATATAGAAGGAGGATCTTTGTATAGAGAGGATAATCGCAAAGCTTCGAGTTTTGGTTAACTAGCATCTGCTCAAGGAAATTTCTCCGCTCAGCGACCGCCAAATTTTCGCTCATCTTTTCTCCATTCTCGTTAATCCGCATCACTTCATGCTACTCAGCTGTAATCCTCCCGAGTAACCGCATAACAATACAGCCGCCTCTATACTGCCAGAAGAATTGGCCTTTGCGAGCGGAGAATGTCGAAGAGACCTAGTCGCGCGACGAGGTGTAACAACGTGATGTGACTTAGACAATTACCAGATAATTAATTACTGCTGTAATCTCAATGATAATTATAACGGAACGCGCATACTGTAAAATAACTTCGTAATAAAGCGTGAGGAGGACGCGTGCTCGTTATTTTGCAATCCACGAAGAGACGCCTCTACATTTTAGTCGCGTTAAGAAACTAAGAAAGTGAGAAAGGCTAATAAAGATACACAAGCATAGACACACAAGATACTTTATACATGGAATGTTTAATAATCATGTATAGATGATAACTCTGTATAAAAAAATATATATATATATCTTTGGCCTGAAATGTCGTCGAAGAAGCTACAGACGTCGGGTCGTACTTTCATAATTGCAGGTCATTGATTTCAACGTTAAACACGCATGTTTTACATTCGGAAAATTCCGAATTTACTTTCTGGTATGGGTGCGTTCAGCGCTGCCGATAGACTGAGACCTAATACCACTCTGGTGTCGACTGGATTGATCACACCATCGTCCCAAAGTCTGAAAAATAATGTACTTGAATATAAGCCAATTAAAGTAGCTTATAACTTAACAAATAAGCTGATCGTTATCATCTTGTGAAAGCGAAAGAAGTAACAAAGAAATAACGCAAATTTACCTAGCACTGGCGTAGTATGGACTGCTCTGCCTTTCGAATTTCTCTATGATCGGTCTTTTCAGGTTCTCCTCTTCCTCCACGGTCCACTGTCCGCAATTGGCAAGATTAATATCAAAATTGATAACAAATTATAAAGATCGTACCTGTTTCCCATCACGAATATGTTTCTGCTTAGTAATTTGTGCAAATACATCCGCTGCCTGTTCTCCGCCCATCACGGATATTTTAGCGTTCGGCCAGGTATAGAGGAACCTTGGTGAATAAGCTCGACCACACATACCTACGTATGGAAATTAGTGAATTCAAACAGTGACAATGTATTAACACGTTGATGATAAATGTTTCAGAACGATTTAAACAAGGCCAATATCGTTAACGAAAATTTTAAACAACATAAATAATTATATAATGCTATAAATTGAAGAGTGAAAAGTATGCAAATCGTGTGGCAGTCAACATGTTACGTTACCGAAATTTCCTGCCCCGTACGAGCCACCGATCATCACCGTAATTTTCGGTACTCGAGCGCAAGCAACGGCAGTCACCAACTTTGCTCCATTTTTAGCAATGCCTCCGGCTTCTGCATCCTTGCCCACCATAAACCCTGCAGTTTCACAATGGCATATCCTATTAGTCGTGGGAACGAAGTAATTTCGTTCTATGAGACACGTACCTGTAATATTCTGCAAGAAAATAAGCGGTATCTTCCTCTGGGCGCAGAGTTGCACGAAATGTGTACCCTTTAACGCGCTCTGCGAGAACAGCACGCCATTATTCGCCACTATTCCCACAGGGTAACCGTAAATTTTCGCGAATCCGGTAACCAACGTTTCCCCGTACTGAGCCTTGAACTCACGAAATCTCGATCCATCGACGATCCTCGCGATCACTTCTCTTACGTCATACGGTCGTTTTAAATTCGTACCGACTATACCATAAATTTCATCGACAGAGTACAACGGTATGTCCACCTGTTTGTCCACATTCACGTGCATCGGTCTTTGCCTGTTCAAGTCCTTTACAACCTGCCGTGCCAAGTACAAGGCGTGAGTGTCGTCCACGGCATAATGGTCGGTCACTCCGGAGGTACTGAAACGAACATTCTGAAACTATAATCGTAAAAAGCGACCTGTTCAAACGTACTTTTCAATTACCGACAATGAAGCGCTGCACCGCCTAAATCCTCTGCGGTTACGTCTTCGCCAGTTGAAGCTTTCACCAACGGTGGACCAGCCAAGAATATGGTTCCTTGATTGCCAACGATTATGTTCTCGTCGGCCATAGCTGGCACATACGCACCACCTGCATAAATTGATCAGATGTCGTTGCGAATAATTGCAGTGTAATAACGCTGAGTGAGAGGTTTAAGTGGAATAAACGAAGCGTGGTCAGACCTGCCGTACAACTGCCCATTACCACTGCAATTTGTGCGATCCCGTTTGAACTCATAATAGCCTGATTGTAAAAGGTTCGTCCGAAATACATTTTATCAGCAAACACCTCGTCTTGCCTAGATAAATTGGCACCACCGCTGTCTACTAAATATATACATGGTAAATGATTCTCTTCCGCAATTTCTTGCGCTCTTAGTTGCTTTTTCACCGTGATTGGATAGTAGGTGCCCCCTTTCACAGTTGGATCATTCGCAATTATTACGCATTCGGTGCTAGATGGTATATATACATTTTTAACATACTTTATTTTTTTAACGAACGTTTTTCGATAAACTTCGATACTTGCCCTTCTACTCTACCAATGCCAGTGATGATTCCACCAGCTGGCACTTCTTCGTTATCGTACAATTCGAAACCAGCTAGCTGAGAAAATTCGAGAAAAGGAGATGTCGAATCGAGAAGCGTGTTAATTCGCTCTCGCGGTAAAAGTTTCCCTTTCTTTACGTGTCTTTCTCTCGCCTTGTATTCTCCACCTTCTACGATTTTCTCGACTGTCTTTTTTAACTTATCTACCAGACATTTCATTTGTACGTAATTTTCCTGAAAATATCTTCTTTTTAATTCCACATTTGTCTTTCATAGATTGTTAAATCTAATTTTTTTCTTAAATGTAGTTTATTAGTTTAGTTTCACTTTATGCGACAAAGATTACCGACACTCATTATCGATAAAATATAAAATGAAACGAGATATTCTTAATTAGATTTTTGATAACAGCCCAACAGGATCAATTGTTTCTATTATTTAAAACTTAAAGCTTTATTTTTCATAAATTAAAATAGACGCGCGCGCGATGTTCGTAATGTTCGTATTACGCGCCAAATTATCGCGAGTCGGTTGCGCAGTCGTGCGTCACACGCGAGCGTGCCTAGATAAACAATTTCAACTTTATCTCGCTCAAGAAAATAAAAATTTGCATCATTCACGACGCAAAAGCTTACAGTCCTTTCAAACCGAGTAAGGTAATATTACTCAGAAACAAAATTCTTTGAGAATTAGCTTCAGAATGGCTCGTTTAGGGACAAAATGTGCGTGTACTCTAGTTCTAACCTGGTATTCTGGTGACTTGGTCTCTTGCTCGCTGCCTATAGTAATGGCCTCGTCGTGAAACATTCTTGTAATATAACGTAAATGTCTCACAAAAAGATTTCCTTTCCTCAGCATCATTTTATCGATTTTTTTTCACTCTACTTTCGTGAATTATCTACTACCGTATCTATTGTATCTACTACACTTTACGCACGGTTTGCACACGAGCTGCAAGAATATATGTAGTATTTCTAGGACTGAGTCACACTGCCATCTTAATGAAGTTACTCACAGTTCGGAGGCTGTTTTCATCGTGATACATGGCAAGAATAACGTGCAACTGCAGCGGACTATTTATCAATGTGTCGTAAAGAGAGATAATGCGGCGTTTGGGTCACGTAGGGTCATTCTCACGATGAAAAACATGCTAACCCTTATGGTTTTTTTTTCATTTGATTTTCACGAGAACGAAACATAGAAATACATTATTAATAACTCGGAGTAAATTTTGCATTTTTTTTTCTTTCGATCGAAATACAGGACAGTATTATATTAAAATTATTATATAAATTTGAAATTCTTAGTTTAAGTGATTTATGTGTCTTTCGTTTATAGATGGCGCTGAGTTCGGTGTTGTGTGATGTGTAGATGTCGCTGTGGAAATGTCGTTGCACAGTATTCCTTTTGTGTTGCATCAATGGAACACAAGGAGGAAGAAGTTTGTCGAATATTTTGGTAATCGTGAACAAATAACACTCTGTTTCGTTTGACAAGTACCTGAAAACAGTTGTCGCAAAAGCAAAGAATCTGAAATATTAGAGCAAGTCAAAGAAAAAAATTTGAAAGCTAAAAAATGCCGGACGTGTCTAGTCTGACTCATTTCCCCTTAAAGGTAAATATCGTTGATCCAACATAGAATTTGCCACTTCCTTGAATAATCCTACTCTAGATTCATTCGCTTCTTTCTTTAAAGTACAATTCGTTGCACGTCGTACTTCTCTTTCATTTATTTTGCTTTGTTATCGCTTTCCGCCCGTGCGATTGCGTGACACTATTTCTGTCCGATATCCAGTGTGTTCGATTATGAGAACACATGTCAGATCCTTTGAAATTGTAATTGCATTTCACGGACGCTTTACTGTAACGCCTTTCGATGATGCATGTTTTCCTAAAAAGTGAAACAGAATTATGTAAAGGCACGGTAATGAAACAATTCCATAACCCGTTTGACAAGTTTCTCGTGTTATCGAGGCGGTTGTTACCGTACCGCAATTGCATTTTCAAGTATCCGTTGCCTAGAAACATTTTATTCACTTGCATTTTGAGATCATGTTTTATGATCTTGTCGGATTTTTTCAGGTGATATTTGCAATTCATTTAGTCCTAGTAACATGGTAAGAATAAATATTTTGTTTACTGTATATTAATGTACAATTTAGAAAGTATTACAAAGCACTGCAATACGTGGAATGCATTCGTACACTAAACTGTTAAACGATGAACTTTTAGGAGCATTCAGGGACATTGGTGTCCTAAGTCTGTAATGTTTTACAATTTTCTTTTCTTCATCTGCTTATTATGGGCTATTTACAATATTGAATCAGATGAACCTTTGCAATTTGTAAGCATCTTCCCATTGATACATAATATACAATACTGATATGAGTTTGTAACAGAATTATATATTTTAGGCACTCTTTATAAATATACTTTCTATATTTTTTGACATAATAACATTAGCAGTCTATTTCCCAACAACATGTAAGTTGTTGCCACTTGATTATTGAATTTAAGACTAATACCTAAAGCTTGATAAATTATACTGTTGATTAACCTTCTTATACAGAAGATATATCTGTCTGATCGCACAAACTTGTAGATCCATCTGAGAAGTTTAGTGCAGCAATTATGATCATAAACATGATTGTTCGCATCGTTACAAGCGTATATCTTCTGCGAATAGGCCAAGCAAGAGGTGGATGTTTAGCCACAATGTTCACTACGAGTCCTGCAATGGGTCAGTAATACATTGGATACAGATGTTTTGTAGGCCTTCATTGCTTCTTCAATATTGTGCTTTAAGTAGGTGCATGACATTTCTTTGCCAAATATGCACATCATATCGCATAATTCAAATATGTATTTAAGTATGTGGCGCTTGATACAAATTGTTTATGACGTGTATGCATTTCAGTTGCAACTATTTTGAACTGCGCACTGCGTTGTGTCATCCTTCTCTGTTGTGCATATGGTTTTGTTACAATTTAAATGGGGTGGGAACAGAGGTTCATGAACGTTTTTTTATTCTAGGCTTTGGTCGACAGGATTACGAGGACATATCTCACCCAATTCCACAAAATTCCGATTTTGCCGGAGTTTAGAAACACGATATAACGTTACTAAAGTTCGATACGCGATAACATTGTCATATGTCTCGTAGCTCGTAAGAAGTACGCGCACGTATGATCACGTTACTGACATCTAGATATTATTTTACTTATATATGTATTTCAGAATCTCTAACAACGATAATGTTCAATACAATTTAGGATTTTAATTTTATGTATATACTGTTGTCGATACGCGAAACATGGAGAAACCATGTACATTATATTAATATAATAAAACTCAATCTTAATTGTACGTTTCATACGCATCCGGACTATAGATTTTATTCTGTACAATTATTTGTACTCGCAACATGTGAATAAAAATTTTCACCGTAACCGAGCGCCTGGATTCTTTCAGTTTTCAGGGGCCGTGATCTCGATTATATTATACAACTCGTTTATATACTTTAGAATCGTATTATTATTAATAAAGAAAAATATACGAACGATCGTCGGATCGATTAACAAAATAACAAAGATACAAAGTACAGTGACGATCACTGTTAATTGCTTAATGGTAAATGTATTTTTTGCGAAGGTGTCGAAAGAGGAGAGGATAAGATTCAAAACGAGCGCGTAGCGACGGTGGCGCGGCTGAACGGGGAAGGAGTGGCGCCACTGATGGGCTATAAGAGCCGCATCGGTGAGGCGGCGTGGTTCAGTAGTGTGCGTGACCGTTCCGGGAGGAGGGTGGCTCCACGCGCGGCCACACCGCGAAACCGTGCCCACTCGCCTCGACCACGAACGTCCACTCGTTTTCTCGTCTCGTGAAAACATGGCGGCCAGCGACGACGAGCCGATGCATCTCTACGAGGTCTTTCAGAACTGCTTCAATAAGATCGCCAACAAGCATCCCGGTGAGTGTCGTCAGCCACGAAGCAATACCCGTTAGACAAAGAATCGGCAGAATCCTTTGTGCTGTGTGTGTGTCGTGTGAATAATAGAGCGACGGAGTCTCTTGTGTCTAGTGTCTTCTGCGAAAGCACCGTGCGTTAAATCCAGCAAGCGTCGCTTCCCGGTGGTAGCCCTGTGTCGGACAAATCGTCCCGAACGAAGGTTAGGGTATGCACCTGTGTCGTGTTTCGGTCGATCGTACTCTCGACCATGTCGACGAACCGTGCCGAACAATTCTCTCAACTGACTCTCGCTCACTTCTGTGTTTTGGTTTGCCTGTCAGTGCTTTGGACAGTGCTGCCCCGTCGTAGTGAACTAACCCCTAGCTAGAGAGATCAGTTCTCTTCTCTGTGCTTTATGCATCGTTGCTTGTTGTTTTCTCGTTGTTGCTCGATATTGCTCGTATGCCGTATCGAACCAACGCGCTAGACGTTGGAAATATAGTTGACATAACCTAGACACCACCAGAGACTTGTCGCTCCCTCACTCTCGCTGTCACATGCAACAGCGTTCAGTCGGTTCACGCTGTTGTGACATATTTGCGACGCATCTGCACGATTAACAATATCGAGGCGAACAACGTTGGTTAGATTGCTATTTATTTCGCGTATCGCCGATGTTCATCGTTGTGGCGATACCTGTTTTCAAAAGTTGGTCCCTGATTGGGCGAGTCTCGATCACGTACCACGTGTCCTCTCCGCGACGCCACTAGAATCGTTAGAGGTTAATCGTTCGAACGTAATGCGAGGAAGACTATAAATCGGGATCTTTCCGCGCACAGCCTCGAGAGGTCTTTCGAGAGTACGTACGTTCTCTTTCTTTCTTTCTTTCTTTCTTTCTCGTTTTTTTTTTCATTTTCTCCTATTCATACACCTGCTTGAAAAAGGAACTCACCGCGAGAGCATCTTGGTCTCTCGTTGCGCGAGCCGGTGATTAAGAGAGATTCTTCTATTTTTCCTTTTCTCACGACAATATTTTAACGCAAGTCAGTCCCAGGCACATGTCACTCGATCGAGAGCCAATCACTGGTTAGATTATCTCGCGATCGAACAGTCTTATCTGTTTTCGAAAATCACGTCGTATCTATCTAACAAGGTGGCATTATTGAGCTTTGATTCCTCGGCGACAAGGTTAATGGGCAGTTTTCGTCGGTCGCGGCGACCACGAAATCATTGGGAAAATTGTCGGTCAAAGGGAATTGTAAAGTCGGCTGTTTGCTCGTCGCTCGGGGTAGTTGGTCAACCGAGTCTCGGTTGTTTGTTTAGCTTGCGGATGCTGTTTGGAAAACGCTGGAGGTGCACCGCTTCTCCCAACCAAATGCGCTCTCTGGCCGCTAACGAAATGTTTCGTGTCGTCAAAGTATTACGTGTACATACGTGTATGTATACTTGGAGCTACGCTATCCGAATTAAACGGTTTTCGTTTCTCTTGCTAGACGAGCCATGCGTTAGGGATTGATGCGATGTGTCCGTGTCGACACACGCGGCGAGCTCGTGTGTTTAATCGAAGATTAGATATACGATTCGCCGGCCGGGGCAACGTGTCGAGTTTTACACGATGTTTGAAGAGTAGTCCGAGCAATCTCGAAAATATCGTGCCGATTGTTTGGGATCGATCGTCGTCTTGCTCGTTTATATTCCCGATGTTTAAACGCGCCGGTGTCGGGTTCGTTAAGCGACAATTGTTCGGACGAGGCGGCCACCAATTGCCAACAATCCAGTTAATTCTTCGCTCGTTTCGGCCCCCTGTTAATTTCAACGATTGCCACTTCGGTTGGAAACGTTGTGTATGATTTGACGTACAGCTTCGTTCAAATTGAACTTTGTCACCTGGACTCGGCGGCGATCAGAAGTCGAGTAGCTTGAAATTTCTCATTATCAGAGCGAAATTTTCTCTGAAACTATCGTACTAATTGACCGCGGAAAATTGCTAGTTGTATCTTGCTCGACTTGAAGCAAGGCTACGGGAGAGACACGACAATTTCCTTTTTTTTTTTTTTTTTTTTTTTTTTGAGAGGGAAACGTTCAGTACGTTGTCAAGTAATATCATTTTATCAAATTTCCTTTTCATTTGATTTCCAAGTTGAACACGTGTTTTACATGATCAAAATCGCCATTTGAATTTCAACAAACTTTCTTCAACCTCGCAGTTAACGAATTATTGTGTTTCCAAATGTCGCACAGAGTTGAGATTCTTTCGACCATTAGTTAAAGCCATCAGTGTTTCAATAACTTTGAGTTAGAAAATTTTGAAATGAAAATGGTATTTCGTGTAATATGTTGAAAGTCATACATGGATTTCAAGTTTAAATCACTTCCTCTCTCCTCTGATCTCTTTACATTTCCCGAGAGATCCTCTTGGAATTAGAAATCACTTTTTCTCGAAGTCGTGCTTTAGCTTGGCTTCATCTGAACGAGACTCAAAGAACATCCAGCGTTTCTTCAGTTTAAGCGAGACCGCAAATTCTCGTTCATTATTTAATAACCACCGGGGTCAGGATCGTTCAAGTGCAAGAGTATCTAAAAATACATGCACACGCGAGTTTTCGCGAATGTACGTTCTACGAATATTTCTTTTCATTCGGGAGAAGCTCGTTTCGAGCGTTGCTTTCGTTGATGGGACTTAGGTATATCATTCAAGGTTCTCGCGCCACGAGACGGGGAAAACGATTTTCGAAATTGCACGCAATGCCGCGGAAACACCAGCCCGTAGATTTGATGCTCGATTCGATCTAAAATTATCAGACAGTGACTCACGAGTAAATTTACCTGAAGCGGAGTTTGTTTCGGGAAACCGTGAACCAATAAAGCGTTCACCCTTCGCGATGCGCTTACCTAAGAGCAAATAATTTCCACGAGCATTCATTATTCATTGTTGATCGACGAAACATGGATGAATATACAAGTTGTTTCATTAAGTTGAAGTTTGTACTTTAGGAACGTGTACATAGTACTCGTCAATATGGGCAAAAAAGCTCTTGACTTTCTGCAGTTCCTCTCCATCGTGTTTGCAACATCTCTTCGAATATCTTCTTTTTTTTTTTTTTTGGAATACTTTATTTATTTATAGGAAACACAAAAATACACAAATGTTAGTAAAATTATGCGACATCTACGTATTGCAGCATAGCGTTTCGATTGTGCAGACATGTTTGCTCATTTTGGCAAGTACTGTAACGTGTTGCCCAAGTTTGGTCTCAACTTTTTAAAACGTCCCGTTAACTCTCAATTTCAGGCTAGGCTATTTTCTCGAGTAAGACGCAGTTTCTCGACAGTTGACTGGAAAATCGAAATCGTCAATTCGAGGCGATCGTCAGCCTCGGCTCGTGAACGGTAGCGACGAATTCGCGCGACTTGCCGGTATTACAAGGATTACCTGCTCGCAGGGAAACGGGGCTGATTCGATCTGACCCAAGAGCGCCATTTCTGAAACTCTCTCGTTCCCCGGAGCGAGAGAGTTTGAACGAACAACCATAAACGAGCTCCAGACACAACACTCGTGACTTAGCTCTCCTCCCTTCCTTTCTCTTTCCATCCCGCGTACCCTTCGATTTCTCTCTTTTCCCCTTTTTGCCTTATTTCTCTCCCTACCTTTCTCCTTCTCTCGCTCTCTATATTTATTTCTCTCTCTCCCTCCCTCCCTCTCTCTCTCAGGAGAATTATCGAGGGAGTGTCACCGTGATGCACCTGCCTCTTGCTCTCTCTCTTTCTCTCTTTTTTTTCTCACTCCCACTATATTCCTGTCTTCCTGCCGTCTTCTTTCTCTCTCTCCCTCGTGCTCTCTCTCTCCCTCCTTTCCCTCTCTCTTTCTCTTTTCCTTTTTCTCTCGTCTTGCTTATTGGACGCACACGCGCCTCGCACACGACTCGCTATCGCAGTGGCTCGCGTATGAAAATTCTCGATGATACTCCCGAGTGGACAAGGCGGATGATTTTCGCAACAGAGCGAATGAAAATGTAATGCGACGTCCAAACGTGACGCGAAACTTGCTGCAACTAGTCTAGTAGTTCTTTCTAGCATTGTAACCAACCAAGGGAGTCGAAATTGGGACAATTGTTGCATTTGCTTCAAAACTGCAGGAGAATTGTTGACAATTGGCAATTGGTCGTTGCTCGTTACCACGTTACACGGAGGACAATTTCATCGAAAGATCTATCCAATTCAAAATTCGCCAATGTTTTGTCTAAAAAGGAGAAGTCTCCCAAGGCTTTTGAATCTCTTTCCAAATTTCTTTCATTTTTGGAAAATCCCAGGCACGACATGTTGTCGAACAACAACTCGTTAACGAACTATCCGAAAAGCCACGAGAGAGACAGAGAGAGAGAGAGAGAGAGGATACGGGGTCTTTCTGGCTGCTATTCTTTGGTGTAGCTCCAAGTCCCGGAAGCTGTAGTTCGGTCTGAAAGTAAATCAGGGAAAAAGTTTGCCGCGGGTTCGGCTACGAAACTTTTCGATCCTCTCTTCTTAGGGAAGGCCAAGTCCAAAGTGCGTTTCATGTACGGGCGCGCGCCCGCGCGCGCGCACACAAATCAAGGATGAGCATAATCTACATTTACAGCAGGGGCCCGATGAGCATCTGCTTCCACCCCTCTTCGGCCTCGACCCCTCATCCCCCGACGCCCTAACTCGAATCCCTTTCTCCACCGACGAGCATCCTCCCACCGTTGTGCACGCGCGTACATATTCTCTCGATCGTGATCGTTTCTTCCTCACCTCGTATCGAATTCGTCCGTCTCTCGTTTCGTTCTCGTGCGAGAAACGCTCGGAAAAAGTAATGGTCTCAGCATCTCGCACGTTGAGAAAATTCTTCACCGAACATCGAATTGTACCAAGTCACACAATCTGAATTTTTCTGGGAATGGAATCCCATATGTAAATCCTGAGTCGCGATTTAACTCTTTGGTTTCGTTCTGCTGTTTGTTCGGTCTCTTCTTAAAATTAGCGCGCAGAATTAATCAGTAGAG